CCAGGAGCAGGTGATCGGGATGGTGTGTCCCAGGTTCTTTGACACCGAGGACGGCTGAGTCAGCGCTGCCTGGACCAGGGAATCTGGAGAGGGAGAGGAGACAGGGGAGAAGATGGGGGTCAACCAGTGCCCCAGGAGCACAGCCTTGCCCAGGCAGTGAGAGGGGGAATGCCACAGTCAGAGGAGAAAAGACCTTCCGGTGTGGTCAGAGAAACACTTGAGGAGCACAGCTCAGGCCAACGCATCCCAGCACAGAGGCAGTTCTGGCAGCAGTGGGAGGACATGGTCATCAGTAGGAAAAGGCCATGGGGTGGCAGACAAGGTCACATTGTGAATTTTGTAGGGACAAGGAAAAATATTCACCAGCCACAAAGTCACCTCCCCTGCTCTAGGACACGAAAGGGAGGACATCCACAGCCACAGTCATGCAGAGGGGACAGCAACCTGCCTCAGCCCCACAACCACAACTCTGCTTGGCCAGGAGGGAGAAGGGCTGAAAATCTTCCTCTGACTTTCGAGTCATGGTCTTGCTTCCTATTACGCTTTGTCACCAGACACCATAGCTGCTGCTGTCCCAGCAACCACAGTAATAGACAGCCTCGTCCTCGGCTTGGACCCCAGTGATGGTTAATGTGCCCGTGGTGCTAGATGCAGATCCGGAGAATCGTGAAGGGATGTCCGAGGGTCTCTTGTCGCTCTGGTAGATCACAGTGACAGGGCCATTGCCAGGTACCTTCTGCTGGTACCAGCCAACAGCATTGCTGCTGCTAAGCCCGGAGCAGGTGATCTGGACGGTTTGTCCCAGGCTCCTTGACACCGGGGACAGCTGAGTCAGTGCTGCCTGGACCAGGGAACCTGGAGAGGGAGAGGAGAGAGGGGAGGAGACAAGGATCAGGCATTGCACCAGGAGTCGAGTTCTGCCCAGGCAGCGGGACAGAGGTGGGACCCCTGTGCCCAAAGGCCCTGGCAGGAGCAGTGCATCTGTCCAGGACACCTGATCCATGGGTGAGCACCTCGAGGAGGAGAGAGGCCCAGGCCATAGCGTGATCCTCTGCGTCCCCACGCTGATGGGACTGTGCCATCGACCCTGACTGTCTCTTAAACCCCTTCCAACCTGGGGAAGTCCTCTCCATGCTAATATGACCCTTTGCTCATGGCCAGATCCTACCTGCACCTCTCCCTCAACTTCCCTCTCAGCTCCCGGAACAGGGGCTTCTTCTCACACCCCACTTCACCTGCTGCGATGCACAGCCAGGGTCACACTGGTCACACCTGAGTTATTGCTGGTGGTGATGGCCTCATGTTCAAGGTGCAGAACAGCATGTTGGTCCCACCCAGGGATCCCTGACGCCAAGGGTGCCTGGTGCACCACCACCTGCAAAACGACACCTGGAAGCTGCAGTGCCCAAACCTCAACATCAGCATCCCACAGCACCCGCAGTCACAAATGGTCACCCTGCGGGATGCCTCGACCACACCAGCACCGCTGCTGTCACTGCCACCACAGTAATAGACAGCCTCGTCCTCGGCTTGGACCCCAGTGATGGTTAATGTGCCCGTGGTGCCGGACTTGGATCCGGAGAATCGCGAAGGGATGTCCGAGGGTCTCTTGTCGTTGTAGTAGATCACAGTGACAGGGGCACTGCCAGGTGTCTTCTGCTGGAACCAGCCAACAGCTTCACTGCTGTAGCTGCTAACCCCAGAGCAGGTGATCTGGACAGTTTGTCCCAGGTTTGCTGACACTGAGGACGGCTGAGTCAGCACTGCCTGGACCAGGGAACCTGGAGAGGGAGATGAGAGAGAGGAGAAGACGAGGGTCAGCCAGTGCCCCATGAGCACAGCTCTCCCTGGGCAGCAGGATGTGGATGGAGCCCCCGTGCCTAAAGGCCAAGATGCCACGGAATGACCCAGAGCCCCGCACACAGAGCCCAAGGCCAGAGCCCCAGGGTCCTGCAAGGAGACCTGGCAGCAGCAATAGCCCAGGGAATGCCAGAACCGGTGGATATGGGACCTGCCCACAGCTACAGGCACATTTGAGGAGCAGAGCACTGCTCGGCACAGAGCATCTCAGCACAGAGCCAGCTCCAGCAGCAAGAGGAGGATGGGGTCTACGGCAGCGGGACTAGGGACAAACCTACCTCATGCCTCTCTAGGAACAGGGGTGAGGAGACCACAGTCCCATTGTCATCTCCTGCACTCTAGGGTGTGAAAGTGAGGATATTCTAGGAGAGGACAAGAACCTGTCTCATTCCCACAACCATGACTCTTTTGAGCTACAGAGAAGAAGGGCTGGAGACCTTACTTTGATTCCACGGTTTGTCTCTCACTTCTACATTACCCAGGGTCTCCAGCACACAGACCAGCACTGCTGCTGTCGTAGCTACCGCAGTAATAGACAGGCTCATACTTGGCTTGGACCCCAGTGATGGTTAATGTGCCTGTGGTGCCAGACTTGGATCCGGAGAATCGTGAAGGGATGCCAGAGGGTCTGTTGGTGCTACCATAGATCACAGTGACAGGGGCACTGCCAGGTGTCTTCTGCTGGTACCAGCCAACATTGCTGCTGCTGTAAAGCCCGGAGCAGGTGATCTGGATGGTTTCTCCCGGGTTCGTTGACACCGAGGAAGGCTGAGTCAGCGCTGCCTGGACCAGGGAACCTGGAGAGGGAGAGGAGAGAGGGGAGAAGATGAAGGTCAGCCAGTGCACCAGGAGCACAGCCCTGCCTGGAAGCAGAACAGGGATGGGACTCCTGTGCCCAAAGGCCCTGGCTGGGTGCAGGAAGTCTGTCCAGGGCACCTGAGCCATTGGCGAGCAGCACAAGGAAGGGAGGGGCCCAGGCCATGGTGTGATCCCACCAGCTCTGCGTCTCGACGCCAATGGGGCTGTGCAGTGGAGGAGAGAACATGGGGGTCATCCAGTGTCCCAAGAGCACAGCTGTCCCCGAGAGGCAGAAAGGGGAATGCCACAACTGAAGGAGAAAGGATGCAACCACTGTCAGGGGTGAACTGGGAGAGCAGAACCCAGCCCAGGGCATCTCAGCAGCGCTGAGGTAGCTCCAGCAGCAGCAGAAGGACATGGTCATCAGTAGCACAAGGCAGTGGGGTGGGGTGGGGTAACAGGGCCACATTGTGAATTTTGTAGGAATAAGGACAATGCTCCCCAGGCATGGGGAAGAGCAAGAGAACCTGCAGTGCTCTGGGACATGAAAGGGAGGGCATTCACAGCCATGGTCATGCAGAGAGGACAGGCACCTGCCTCAGCCCCACAGCCAGCCAGGAGGGAGGAGGGTGGAAACTTCCTCTAATTTTGGAGTCTGTGTCTCACTTCCTACTGCTCAAAGTCACCTGACATAATTGCTGCTGCTGTCACTGCCACCACAGTAATAGACAGCCTCGTCACCAGCTTGGACCCCAGTGATGGTTAACGTGCCCGTGGTGCCGGACTTGGATCCGGAGAATCGCGAAGGGATGTCCGAGGGTCTCTTGTTGCTCTCATAGATCACAGTAACAGGGGCACTGCCAGGTGTCTTCTGCTGGTACCAGCCAACATTGCTGCTGCTGTAAAGCCCGTTTTCTCCCGGGTTCGCTGACACCGAGGACGGCTGAGTCAGTGCTGCCTGGACCAGGGAACCTGGAGAGAGAGAGGAGACAGGGGAGAAGATGGGGGTCAACCAGTGCCCCAGGAGCACAGCCCTGCCCAGGCAGTGGGAGGGAGAATGTCACAGTCGGAGGAGAAAAGACCCAAACATGGTCAGAGAAACACTTGAGGAACACAGCTCAGCCCAATGCATCCCAGCACAGAGGCAGCTCTGACAGCAGTGGGAGGACATGGTCATCTGTAGGAAAAGGCCATCGGGCGGCAGACAAGGTCACATTGTGAATTTTGTAG